CTGTCATTCATGCTGTCCAGCTCTTCCCAGCGTCCTCGCTTGCCAGGTCCACTGTGCGGTCAACTCTTTGACTTCCTCTTTGGGCTTTTACTTTCCAGACTTTTCCCTTTTAAGTAAACTGTCCTAAAACTCAAACACCCCGTCTTGTTTTTGTCCTCTGACTAATAATATTGCCTGTGCCTCGGGGAAGAGGGAAAGCAACATGGCCGAGCAGGGTGTGGGACAGAGTTGGGGTGCTGGCAGCGACAGGCTGGGTGGCCGGGCCCGCCTGGGGGCAGAGGCCCCCCGTGTCCCCTCCCACACAGACCCGCAGGAGCCGGTGGTGGCCGCCCACAAGGCAGGGTAGGGAGCGGGAGGAAGCGGGGAAGAGAAGTGCGGGTGGATCTGGCACCATCTGTGCTCAAGGCATGTCTAGGAGCATCAGGCACTTCCACACATCCATGCTCCCCTAGCGGCTTTGTAGCATCAAAATACCTGCCTGGTTCTTGCTCTCAAGGAGCTTGCGTTCCCGTAATACCTATAACTGATGAATGCTCTCAAGAGGCGAAGGAGAAAAGACGTGCTTGATGGATTTACATAAAGTAAAAAACCAAAACAAAAAACAAAAACACGACCCACCCTGAAAGGGCCGCATGGAGTTGTGCTATCCGGAGGCGTATTGCGCATGTTTGGCTATTCCATCCTTGAGCCTTGGTGGATGAAGCCAGGTTTGGAGAGTTTGTGTCATTATCTAGCATGGGCTTTGGCAAAACACAGAAAGCCAGACTCCCTTTGTGTTCTGCTACAGCAAGACTGAGGCGGAGCAGCCAGTGTTTGAGAATTTAATTTGGTAACTCGTGCTGCCCCACCCTCCCTGGTGCTGCTCAGAACTGCCAGTAAATACTCAGGTTTTTCTCAGACCCTCAATTTCACTCATTAAAGGCAACTGCCGTGACCCAACTAGGGGAAGGGGACAAGGGCCAATGAATTCATTTCTTGAAAACCAAGAAGTTTCAACCTGGGAAAAACCAAACTGGCTGGCATTGATGAGGGCTGTGGCTCTCAGGCCAAAAGCAGTCCCATTTCCCAGCAGGGACTTAGGGATTGAAAGGGAAGGAGCTCACTGGGCCAAGGCCCCCCAACCAAGGAAAGGACATGCTCAAAGAAGGCACTTCCTGCCTCACTGGAACACCTGGAAAACGTGATTGCATCGGTGACATCGAAGTCCCCCGAAGCTTTCTCCCTCCCTCTTCCCCAAGTCCTTATTTATTAATTTGGCGCTGCAGAAACCCTTGGGGTGGGGTGGGGTTTTGAAATCCCAGGCTAAAAGCCAGTGGCCCTCAATTCTTACAGAGCTCTGTGAATGGACCCCAAGCAGAGGAAGCCGGTTCTAACTTCTGCCTTGCCCCACACCACCTTTCTGAGCTAGGTGAATGGGGCAAGTGTCCTTACTTCCCAGCGTTTGAAACCTTTGCTTTCTGTTCAATGCCTTCTAAAAAGGGCCTTAACTGCTCAGCAAGAAGTTTGCAAAACTGGTTACAAACTCCTGGTTTAATCCTTTAAAAGCCTCATCCAAGAAGCCAAAGGCACAGACATTTCAGTGTCCGCCTCCTCACTTCCTCCTTGTTCAGCAGGATTGCTCTACTGGCGTGCACCCATCCACCAGACCTTACCGTGCCTTCTCTCCTCTCCCACCGCGTCTTCCAAGTCTCCGGGCAAGGAGCAGCAGTGTCAGAAAACCACCCCAAGGCGGGAGGCGCCAGGTCCTGCTGCCTTAGCTTAGTAATGGCTGCAGACACTGCGTTATATTTGCTTGTGTTTGCATCTTAACCTCATTTTCCCAGCCCTGGCCAATCACAGCCAACCTAGCCCTGGGCTTGACTTATTCAAACCAGAGGGGAAGCTTTATCTGCTCCTATTCAAAACAGCAGAAACCAGAACGGACTTTTAAAGGCTTTTCTCTTTTGACTCCAGCTCCACACCCTGATCTAATTGATTTTTTTTAAAAGTGCACAGCCCATCAATAATGCAGGAAAGAGGGTGGGAGGATATGAAATTTGCCATATTGTAGATATGGATGCATTATGCTGATGACAAGAGGCAGGGGCCGGAGCTGCCCCTGAGTGCCTGGGATGTCTAAGCTGGCAAGTGCCTCCCTGAGAAGCTTCTGGGCATTCTTCAGAGGGAGGGAAGTCCAGGAGAGGGGCCAGGAGTGTGTTATATTCGGTCATCCTGTTTTGCTCCTTAGGGTTTCCCTTGGGGTCCCTACAGCAGTCCAATCACAATCTGAGTGCCTACTATGTGCCAAGAACCCTGCTGGGCTCTAAGCCCCGGGGATCCTGGTTTGGGAGAATCGGGAAGGGATGCAGAAGAACGAAGACTCCCAGTCCCTCGGGGTTTCTGGTTTGTCCCCCAGAAGTCAATAGGACACCAAGTGTATGCTTATTAAGCACCTGGATGGCAATGGAGTTGGTTCCAAATGGGGGCCAGAAAAAGAGTCCAACTTCTGTAACCTTGAGCAGAAGTCCAGTCGGTGCTGAGTGTGCGGCTGGTCTCCCAGCCGGAGGCAGCGGCTCACCCGGCCTGGGTGCCCCGAGGGGTGGCAAGGGAGGCAGAGTGTACCCGGTGACTGCCCACATGAATGACAGCAGGGTCAGGGAGCAGCTCCCGTTTCTGGATGGGTTTTTTTAAACCCGCTTTTATTAATTGTAAGTAATACAAATATTCCAAAAATATAAACAGACACTTAATGGCGTCCTACATTTCAAGTTTTTGAATACAACAAATTTATCAAACCATGAATCTGGAAGCAAGGTCGTCAGAGTCCCCATAGCCCAGTCACAGTGGGAAGCAGATCCCCTGCCCTCCAAATGGCATCTTGAGGGGGAAAGTGGCAGGACATGGAATGTGTCAAACTTGGGATAACTATAAGCAAAGCTCATGGGGCCCAAAGAGGAGGATCTGCTCTGGAGGCAAGCCCTACAGCAGGGCAAGGGACAGCGGGGCACACCCCTGCCTTCCCTCCTCTGCTTGAATGCAAATACTTATGGGCATTTAAAAAGGAAAAAAAAAAAAAAAAGACAAAACTAACCCCATTTTACAAAAAGTAACCGAGGAACAACAACAGTAACCAACTGAAGACCTGAAGGTGAAAAGGGGCTTACCTTCCACAGACATTCGGCCTGGCTGGGACATGGGGTTCAGGCCAGCCTTATGTGGGGGCTGCCATCCTGAATGAGGCCTCAGGAACAGGGCAGGGGCAGCAGATCTGAATGGGACCCATCTCCCAGGGAATGACTGCCTTTATAGACTTCCCATGCTTTTAGCATAAAGATGCTTCTGGGCCACTGTTCACAGAGGTGAGTTTATATACTTACAAAATGGTCAAAATCTTTGGGAGGCAGGAGGGAACTAAACAGAAGGTCCCGGGTTAACTGAAGGCAAATTTACTCAACCTCTCTAGAGTCAAGGACCCACGTGCCTACAGAGCGTCCCCTCTACAATGTGCAGAGTGGAAACTCTCCCCTTGACCGTTTCCAGACTGGGCCTGTGTCCCAAGCTCCCCCTATGAGAGGGACACGAACATCAGGCTTTTGATTTAGAAGCCCAATCAGAGAGACACACTGTGTCCCTGAAGAGGCACCTTGAAGAACTGAAGCTGGCCGGTGGGCAGATTCTGGGCATGGCTTGAGTTGGGGCTGACCAGGCACAGTGGCCTACTGCCTCCTGAGGACAGCCTCCAACGGGAAGGGCTGCTGGGAAGCCCCAGAACAGATCCTGGGCTAAACTGCTTCCCTCCCAAGCTTGCCCTCCTCCAAAACGGAGTCTGGCCGGATTCCTCTGAGGAGCAAGTTTGGCAATCACCACTCGCCCCTAACACACTGTGAAACTGGAAACCAGACAGCAAATAATCACTTCAGGCTGGCTCTGGTCCACATAGATGGACCCTGTTTAGGTTTATTTGGCTGAGTTCCTTCTCCGCCCAAGGCGGGAGAAGGGGGAAAGAGAGAATAGGGTATTCCTGTTGAGGACCTGCGGGTGGGCAGGGCAGGGTTCTGCCGGGAACAAGGCCTAGAGAGCAGGGCTTTCACGCAGAAGCAGCAGTGACACCCCCCACCGAGATATCCTGGGCCCTGGTCACGAGTCACACTCGGAGCATCTGGAGGAGCCTAATAGGAAAGGGGGTGGCACAGGCTCTTCCTTCACCGGGAAAAACATGGGAGACCTAAAGGAGGGCAGAAAGGGTCTGAGAACTGGATCAGCTTAGCGCCTTATTGCTTATTTAGTCAGAAAAGCTGGGCTGGGCCCAGGTGGCAGATTTGGCCCAGAGGCTAACCCTTAGGGTGGGGCTAGGGAGAGAGGCCCCTTCCAAGATATTAGGCTAGAGGCCTCGACAGGGCCTTAGAATCAGAAGCTCCCATTTCCCCTCGGAGGTACCGTTTGTTCCTGGCTAGCACTGGAGCCCTCTTCCTTCACCTGTAGGACCCCAGGGGCACCAGGGAATGATACTGGGGGAAATGACCACATGTGCTTCGGGGACTCTGTTCCACTTCTGTGACACCAATGGGAAAGACAAGGCCATTCAACCTTGGGACAAGGAGGGGAGGTGGTACCACAAGCTAGAGGAAGATGCCAGTCAGCCCACTACCTCTCAGAACACCACGCCGCCGCTCCACCACCTGCCAAGTCCTCGGGCTGGACCAGTGTGTGGACATCGAAAAGGTTAACAGGGATGAGTCCTGGGGGGGGGTGTCCTCACACCTGAAGCAACTCACAAATCCTTTGTGACCCCTGCCTCCAGGAAAAGCAGAGATGGGGAGAGGAACTGCCTCCCGCCCCAGAAGGAGGGAGGGAGGGAGACAGGGAGAAAAGGAGAGAACCCCAGCCAGCCCCAGGGGAGGCCACGATTAAGGCAGTGATGCTGGGGCGGGGCTCCCTTTCGGGGGGCCCTTGTGCTCCCAATTACAGCAGCACTTCCCCTTTTCCAACCTCAGGAAACTTCCATCTTGTGGCAATTTTCGAAAGCATTCACTACGAAATTCTGAAAGCGAGAGACACGCAAAGCGCAGGTGTGGAAAGGGCTCGCTCACACCTGCTAAGGGAGGCAGGACGCATGTGTATTAGGGTGGCAAAGGAAAGGATGAGAACACCCACTGCCCTGAGCCCAGGAAAAGCAGGAGTGCCTCTGAGGCCCTGGAGCAGAACAGCAACAGCGCGGGAGGACCAGACGCGAGCAGGGCATGAGAGGCACAAGCCAGGCCCTGGGGGAGACAACAGGAACGAGCCCTGCCCAAGAAACAGGAGGGGCCGGGCTCGGAGCGCCCTTCCTGGACTTTGGAACAGAAGTGCTCGCACCAGCACCAGCAGAGAATCCCTGAAGAGCAGACTTAGGGACGCAGTCCCATGCTCAGCTCATCTACAAGCCAACGGGACACACACACTCATGGTTTGGGGGTTTTCCTCCCCCCTGCACCACTAGGGCCTCCCACATTCATCTCAGGCCCGGGACTGCAGCTTTGTCAGAAACAGAACAGGCCCAACACTCCAGGTTTAGAAAGAGAATTTTAAAACAGAGTCCAAAGAACGGAAATGTTATCTGTCTTCTTCCAGGGCAGGGAGAAGACGTCCTTCCCCCCAGGTTCAAGACTATGGCTAGGTAGTGAGGAAGGCAGGCCCGGCGCCCAGGCCGTGGGGAGACACAGACGGAGCCCATGCCAGGCACTCGACTGGAGGCAAGGGCAGCCCTCAGACCATGGACGTGATGGCCGCTGGGGCTGCTGGTTCTGGAAACAAGCTCTCACCTTTCTAGAAATGTCGTTCGGTCTGCAGTAGCTGGCTGGAGAAAGGTTTCAGAAAGGGGTGTGCCTGGGACACCTGAAGGCAGCCTCTGATTCGCCCTTTCTCCTTGGCATGAGCCTTGTAACACCGAGGAAAGGCCATAGGTTTGGCAACAGAGCCTTCGACAGTTTCCGTCCCTACCAGTTCGGGGGTTCTCAGGGTGACTGGCGAGGAGGCAGACTAACTTGGGGAGTCTCGATCTCTCAGTTTCTCCCTCCACCTAAACACTTACATCCTGGGGCCACAGTTCAGGGCGAGACACACAGACACAGACAGACACACACACACATTTGGGAACCCAACTCAGAGAGCAGGCAGCTCTGGGTGTCGTTGGTCTGGTATGTGCCCACTCCGCATCTATCCTGTCCTAAAGCCCTTTCCAATCACTTCTTTTCCAGGCCCCATTTGGTGAGATGCTCCAGCTTCTGCTCCATCAGGCTGATCATAAAGGCACAGTGTAGGAAAGTCCCCTACTGGGAGGGCCATTGCTCAGAAGCAGGGAAGGCTAAGGGGCCCGCAGCTGCCCAAGGCTGGTGTAGACATCCTCTGCTCCGCTCAGCTCCTCAAAGATCGGGATCAGGTTCAGCAGCTCAGTGTCTGCCATGTCATCAAACCAAGACTGCACGGGCACCTGGGACAGGGAAAAGGCAGTGTCAATCTCCTGACTGCCAATTCTTCCCTCCCTTGTGCCAGAGCCCCAGGAGGCTGGCGGGGGCAGCTGGGTGGTACGCTCCTCTGGAGAAGCCCGGGATTCCACGGCCCACTTCCATCTTCCCCCCGCGGGGTAGGGGCTCCCCAAGCCCTGCAGGGTGGGTGTGTCTGGACCCCTCACCGCATTCTCTGGGTGGAAGATGTACGAGGCGGGCGAGTTGTCCAGAATGAGGGTTTTCCTCAGGTCCCTTCCCAGGCGGCTGAGGTCCTTGACATAGCAGCCCTGGTGGAACACGCAGGACTCCCGGAACAGGCGGGCCCGGAACACGCCGCACCTGTCCAGCAGATCCGTCACTGGGTCGGCGTACTAGGAGCAGAGAAGATGCTTTTGTCTCGAGGCAGTCCTGGCCCCACCCCGGGGCTGCCCGCAGACCAGCAAAGAGCTGCTGCCCCCCCGCCCCCGCCTGCCCTGCGGATGCTCTTGCTTCCTTACCCCCCTCCCGCCCTCCCTCAGGTACCTTGGCCAGGCTGGCAGTGAAGAGCACACATTCAAAGAGTTCCCCCATTCGTCTCAGGAACTCATCCACGTAAGGCCTCTTGAGCACATACACCTGAGGCAAAGCAGAGAGGTCTGTTGGAGGCATCCCTGTGAGGGGGAGGCACGCAGCAGGGGTCACTGTCCCCACCTCCACACAGCAAGGGTCAGCGGGGTCGCCCCTTACTCTGTCGGGCCCCTACACCCTGGGAACTTTCTGCCCCCCAGACCGGGACTCTGCAATCACCTCCTCACGGGGCTTTAGCGGGCCTGGCGGCCCACCCGTGACCCAGCTAAGGAAGAAACGCGTGCGCCACATCCCAGAAGCCATCTCGGTTTCAGGCGGCGAACCATCAGCTGCCTCCAGAAACAAGTAATCAAGAATAGGCCTCACAGACGGAAACAGCCTATCCTGGATTACTTGAATCCAGCCACAGCCTCTGTGGGAGCTTCCTGTCCTTGGCTCTGGCGGGGCAGTGTCCAGGTCACCGTCAGGCAAGGTCGCAGACACTTGTGAAACCTCATGCCCTCACACGGCTTCTCTGAAATGTGCCGGGTAGAAGCGACCCGTGCCCTCAGTGACTGTGCGTCAGACACCCTGCACGTCTTGCTCTTGTGCCCCACCGCTGTGCCTGCTCCAGCCAGCCACCCCTAACACTCAGTCCACCTCTCACGATCTTGCACAGTTTGGCCTCAAAAGTTGGTCGGCTACATGCCCCTCACCGCTCCGCATTCTATTGCCTCCCTTCCTCCGGGATCTCTCTCAGCCAGCCTCGATGCTACGAGAAGCATTCCTTCGAAGCTCGTTATCCACGTCACTCCCTGCTCAACGAGCACGTGCCTGCCATGCCTCTCCCTCCTTGGCCGTGGCCTGAACTGGCCACCAACTTGCCAGACCCCCAGTGGCTCTGCAGCAGAAACCCTCTGCTCCAAGAAGCCACAGCTTGGCTCTCTTGCTTGCAGGTGCCACTTCTCAACCTCTAACAGGTCCCTCCCTCTTCCTGGCTGTTCATCAAGCTTGGCATCCCCTCCCCTCTCTCTACTGAAAACCCACCTTCTGCAGGTAGCCGCCCCCACAATCTTAAATCTCAGCCCTTTTTCCCGAGGCAGGCTTCTTTTTCCCTGTCAATCAGGAGTTCACTGTGCGTATCTGCCTGTTTGAAAACATGCCTTCCTCTTCCCTCTGCAGGTTTCGTACGTCTCCATAACCTCAGCCGGATGGAAAGGGCAGCTGGGCAGTTGCTGGGCAGTCCAGGGCCAAGCCTGGTTCTGAGCAGGGGCTGTGCTGGGCCCGATGTCACCTGAGATGGGAGGGCTGGTGGTGTTGGGGACGAAAGCTTCGAAGGGACACAGGATAGTGGTGACTCCTCAGGGAAGCCTCAATCCCCACATTCACTACAAGTAACTCGTCTATTCCACCAGGCCAAGAGAACAGTTCCAGGGCTACCAGGACCTTGTTCCCGATGGTCCCCGACTCTCAGGCCTGCTGGCAGGCCTTCTGGGCAAGCATTTGGAGTAAATGCTTTTTCGCTATCAACACTGCATGATCCTGGACTGAGCACATTATGCAGGGCCAGAGGCTGAGCCGACCTGGATTTAAGTGCTCTCTGAGAGCACTTCCTGGGGCGGAATCCAGGGCAGGGACCTAAGGGGAGGGGAAGTGGAGAAGTTTCACAGAGGACGGGATGCCGGGGCCGGGGAGGAAGAAATCCACTAGCTAGACGGAGTGGGTGGGCATGGGCAGGAGAGAAAACAGGCAGAGACACCAGGGCTTCAGGATTCGAGAAAATGCAATCATTTAACAGCGCTGGCCACCTTGACCGGGAGGCGGTATTCAGTAAATGACAGCTATTACTCTTATTGAGTCATATTTAATTTTACACAGCTTGGCTGCAAAGCAAAAAAGGATGACAGCTAGAGAGGATGAGAGGCTGAATTGTTCTTAAGATCAGAAAGCCCTGAGTGCAAGAGGTACCAACAAAGGAGAGGCTGAAGTTGCAGGAGAGGGCCCCATGGACGGAGCGCATCGGCGGGTGGAGGGGCCTGAGGCCTCTGGGCTGGCTGTGGCCTGGCAGGCAGCTCACCTGGTGCGTGGTCCCCTCAATTTCTACAGGCACTATGAAGTCGGCATTGTTGATTGGCTGGAAGGCAGAAAAGTTAATGAGGTCAGCATGGTGGGAAGCAGACAAGAAGTCCCTGCCACAGCCACAGGCAGAATTGGGGGCGCTGTCCCCTGGGAGGGCTGGGGAGGAACAGATCTCAGAGACTCCGGGAAGCTCATCCCACCACCCCACTAAGGAGCACAACATCCCCTCCTAGTTTTCCCTCCTTCCCACCACCCTTCTGCCTGAGCTGTTTCAGGGCCTTCCTGAGTTAACAGATATCCTGACAGAATGGAGGGAGGCAAGGTGCACGGCTGATTCAAACCCTCTCACAGGCCTGCCCTGCCCAGAGCCCTGGCGGCTCTCTGGGCTACGTGACTAGGGGCAGACGAAGACTGTGGGCAGTGACTGGGGGGAGCAGGGATTCCTACTCCACAATCTTCAGCGTGGCCTCTGAGCACCTGTGACGCCAGTGTGGACAAAATGCCAGAGGGCCCCCAGCCCGCCCTCAGCTTCAGGCTGCCCCCGAGCACCTCCAGTTAGGCACACAAGACAGCCGGAGATGGGTGTAGGAAGAACTCCAGATGTGGAACTACCTTAAAGGAGCTATGCACAAGGGTTTCATCCAAGTCAATGACCACGCAGATCCTTCCTTGATCTTCCTCTGTCACCTCTGGGAGCAGGCAGGTCCCTGGGATCTGAAACCAGAGCCAGACTGCTGAGGCCTGCCACCAAGAAAGCCCAAGTGTTCTCCTCAGCAGAACTCTGGGAAGGACCAGGGTCATTGCAAGACACAGAAGACCCCCAACTTCAACCCAGAAGAGGCGCCCTTTGATGGCCAAGAGGTAGAGAGAGTTGGCTCCTCAGCTCCAACCTCCCACTGGACTATGAAGTGATCTGGACGTTGAGATGCAGGCCAGGGCTGGTGTGGGATGGAGGTCAGCTATCCCCCCCAAAATCTAACGCCTTGCACTGAGTGGGCCCTCAGCAAATATCTGGGACAAATGGCTTCCCAAGGTGGCGCCAGCCAGGCACTGAGGAATGAGGGCATCACCCGATGTGACCACAGGTCTGGGTCCAAGTCACATACCTGATAAAATTGGTACTGGAGACAGTGGAGCAGATCCGACTGTTGGAGAAAAGGAGGCAGTCAGTGCCCACGAGCCAAAGCCATCCCAGCTCAAGCCCACTGCTTTTGCCTCAGGCCCAGAGGGTCATTTTCTCCGCAAAACCCCAGCCCCCTGGAAGGTTGACATAAAACAGTGACTTTTTTTTTTTAAAGTAAGCTCTCTGCCCAACGTGGGGCTTGAACTCGTGACCCTGAGATCAGGAGTCTCATGCTCTACCGATTGAGCCAGCCAGGTGCCCCAAAAATGACTTTTCCTAAGAGCTGGACAGGAAAGGGGAAAGGCCAGACCTGCTTTCGACATCAGGTTTAATGAAGGATGGAGAAGGCAGTGTCTGTTCTCAGTTGTCACTGCCTCTCTATTGGACAAACTGAGGAACAGGGAACTCCAGTAGCTGATGCGGGGACATGGAATCAGAGGCAGAACCCAAATCAGAACTCCTCACTGTGGTGTGTTTTCTAGACACTCTTTTTGGGGGGCGGGTACACAGTGGGGGGAGGGTGCTGAGCCCCTCTAAAACATCACGCATGCCAATGTGAACCCACATTGTGCATCCTAAAATGTGAGGGGTAGTGGAGTACAGAAAAGTCAGAAGGCTTCCCTGGCCTTTCGCTAGTAATAAAAATGTTAGGGTTGTAAAAAGTGATACGTGTTCTTAATGGAAACCCTGAAGAAAAACGAAAATCCTAGCATTTAGAAAAGCTTAATGTTGGCATTTTAGTGTATGTCCTTTAAGCCTGGTGTAGCAGCTTTTCCCCCATAATATGTAATTTCACATTCTGCTTTTCAACTTAATGTTGCAACTCAATACTTTCCCGTGTTATCGTGAACTTTGTAAAAATCAATTGCTAAGTAATACTGTCGTGTTGCACTTTATTTACCGATGTCCCCCTACTGGATAATGCACTGACGCACATGTCTTCAGCCTGGTTTTGAGAGAGAAAAAGGAGAGCTCGACCTTGGTGTTTCCGAAAGAAGTAACCAACGGCTTTGGGGGCGGATGGGGTTTTGGTCTGGGCTGTCCCCACCCTTGAAATGCCAGACATACCTTCTGCTTGTTGTGAGACTCAAAGACACCCACACATTTCCCAATGTGCCCCCCAGGACAGGTGAGAGGGCTGGAGAAGGGTATCGAGAGTGTGGTGGAATTTTAATTCCTTGCTTCCTGGGAAGTCAAGTAACTTGGAAGACAGCTTTGCACAGTACAGGACCCACAACAAACACAGCAGTTAAGCCACAGAGCTTGGAGCTCAAACTCTGACTATTTATTAGCCATTAACTCTTCGGGGGCTACATAGACCCTCTGGATCTCAGTTTCCAGGTGTGTAAGTGGAAATATTCTGTGAATCTCCCTGCGTGGCTGCTATATGGATCACATGAGACAATACATGCAAAGCGCCTTGCACAGTTCCTGGAACCTGGAAGGGTCTGGACCGCAGGGGCCCTCAGAAACTACAGAGAGAGCCACATGGCCCATATCACAATGGAAGCCAGGAGAAAGGAGATGGACAATGCCGGCAAGACAGAGGAGAGGCCTCTGAGCCAGAGAGCTTTGAGACTTCAGGGCCGACTACCCTGCCCACATGCCACAGCTGCAGGGGCCCCCACCAGCAGCCCCCTCCTTGCTGGCGCCACACCACCCTCTCCTAGCTACCTTAGCAATGGTGTTGGCTTCCTCTTTGTATGCGGAGAGCTCAGTGGAGGAGCTTGACTGGCCAACATGCTGGGTGCGAAAACAGCAGAAAAAGGCCTTGAAGATGTTCCGTCCACGGGGTTTCTTAGGAGAGGACTTGGAGACCAGGCCTAGAGCAGAAGGAACGATGATGCATTAGCTACAGGGTCCCTCTGGCCACAGGTACCCTTTGCCCACCTCCCTCCAATCTGTAAGCCCCACCAAGGCACACAGCAGGTGCTCGGCAGAGCACCAAATACAGTCCATAGTGGAGGGCGCAGCTTTATTCCAACACCTCTCTACAGCTGAAGCAGCAGGAATCCCCACTCTCTGGTTTGGGAAATGAGGTGCAGAGAAGCTGATCTCACTTTCGCAGCAGGGGAGGGGTACTCAAAGATGGGGCCGGGGAGAGAATCCAGGGGTCCCGCCACGCTGGTAGCATGCCGAAGGTCCCCGCAACAGTAAAAGTTACCAAGGCCACCCCCCTGCCCCCCAACCAGCCTTGGTTGGTTCTCTTCTTCGCAGAAGAACTAGCTGTTCTAGACAAAGGAGACACCTAGGCCCCTTCGAGTTAGTGGAGCTGTGGTTCTGTCCAGGGTCAGCATCCCCAGATGCTGGGTCTGTGGCAGCAGAGCTGAGGCCAGGCTGGGGACAACAGACGGGAAGACAGCTGCAGCCCCAAGGAAGAAGCTACACTCTCCCTCCCTCCCCTGGCCGTGGTCCTTCCTCCTCTCTCCCCTCGCGGGCACGAGGCCTGACCCATAGGCCACAGGCACGCCAACGCCTTGGGAAACACACCTGGTGTCGGGTTCTAGGCCAATGGCCTGGCTTCTAGACTGTAGCTGCTCATTCCTGCCTTGGTAACTCAGGCTTTGGAAATACAAAGCCATTTGAATCGGAGGCTTGGCAAGGCAGCCCCAGAAAAGCCACGCTGGTACAAACAGCTTCGGCCATTACAGGATCAACCAGAAATGGACTTCAGAATATCGTTCCAGTGCCTTTTTTTTTTTTTTTTTTTTTTAACAGAAACTGTTCTGGCAACTGTTGAGCAAGTGTCGGGAAAAGCAGTGGGGACCTCGGCCAGGAGGTGGCGCCGCGTCACTGTGGCCGGACAGTCCCCAGCCACAGGTCTCCGCCCGGGCGGGAGGGGCCCAAGGCTTAAACCCAGCCCACTTTACCTTACAACATGGGCGGACCACTGTGCAGGAAATAGAAAATAAATCTGGAAACACGGTCCCTGTGGGGGTCAAAAAGGCAAAGAGAATGTGGCACCAAGGACGACTTTCCTTGAGTTGTTCCCTTTAGGAAGGAAAGGGGGAGGCAATGCGGTGGGACCCACCCAGGAGCAAGGCAGGACTCGGTCCTTAGAGCACAGAGGCCCTTGCAAAGAGGTGGGGAGAGGGTCATTTAATACCTGGGTGCGGGCTGCCTGTACCCCTGAGTGGAGGAGAGAAAACCAGACTCTATTCGCCACGGCCAAGGGTGAGGAAATGGCCGCCGAGCGGCAGGCAGCAGCGCCCAGGCCAGCCCACTCAGCTCTGACTCAACAGCAGCAGAGGGCTTCCTGCAGGTGCGGGCTGCCATCCCTGTGCTTCAGAGCTTGCTCCCTCCCTGGGTGAGGCCTGACCCCCTGACACTGGGATGACCATTAGAAACCTTTCAGTAAGGGACCAGGCCTCCCCAGCAATTAGCCTACAAACCCGGGTATTGCTCTTGAGCTCTTGGCCCCGGTGGAAGAACCAAGATTTCCAGGGACTGGGGCTTTTGTCATAAACCAAGAAGATGCACGGCGGAGGGGGGCCCCCCCACCCCCTGGCAAGGCCCCTGTATTAAAGAGACAAACCTTAGAGCGGAGCCCAGCACCTAAAGAGCAGGATGAGAGGCTCCCTGGACTTTTCCCGACTCTTAATAAAATCTACGCGGCAATCAGAGGCAAAGGGCAGCTTTTCCACCTGCCTGTATGGCCCACATTCAATTCCGAGCTGGGGGATGCAAGCAGACGCTGACACAAAGCTCCAAGACCAAAGCTGAACCATCACTTTTCCTTTGGTTTATGGTTTCTTCACGCAGAACCACAATCAGAGGCTTAACCCGGGCATGGAGCCTTTCTTAAAAGGCCACACAGCCCGGGCCTTTCCTGAAGAGAGGCCGTCAAGAATGCACTCAGCATCTTAGTGACAGATGCTGTGAAGGCTAAGTAATCCTGAGAGGCAGGGGGGTGAAAGGGGCAGCTGGCTGGGGCCACAGAGAGGCCTTACTGGTGCCCACCGCGGGAGGCCCAACAGGCAGATGCACTCCAGCCTTCGACACAGAGCTTGGCCGGGTGGGGGTGGGGGCTCCTCAGCTTGGTTTGGACTCAGCAGGGGATGAAGGTCTTCTCAAAAAACACAATGTAACCAGGCAGCCCCTGGGCCTCAGAGACCACAAATGCCTCGACCTTGGGGGCAGGTGCTCTGAACAGAGCACAGAGCTGTGGCGCCTGGAGGAGGGTCCCCCAGGCGCCACAGCAGCAAGGTCAATACCCCACATGTCCCTGTGCTGGGGCCCCACTTCCCTCAGCCCTTCTCCAGGCTGTGGGGCCTCCTTACCTTTATGAACACTGCCTCTGAGAATCCATCACAGCCTCTTTAGCCTCCCCTCAACATGGCTGCCTCCTGATGGGCAATGGCCTCAGCTGAGAACATTCACCAGCCTCTGGCCCTGTGTATAGCAGGTGCTCCGTGACTGACTGGCCAAGGGAGTAACTCTGTGAACTCCAGGGCCCTGTCACTCGCACAGAGCCAGGACCTGTGGAAGCCTCCACTGGTGTGCAACAGCCCAGAAGAGGGAGAAACAGAAAAGCCTCCTTTATGTGACGACGGGAAGGTGGGCACTGAAGGAGCTGAGCACCTGCGGCAAGCCACTCAGTCTTTCTGGGCCTCAGTCGTGCTTACTGGGAACCGAGGCTGTGCCAGCCCTGTGTTAAACATCTGACATCATCACCTCACTTAATCCTCGCCACAGACCCATTTGTAGGCACAAATTCCCCATTTTCCAGAAGGGAAACCGAAGCTAGCTGCTTGAGGTCGCACCGGGACGACAGCAGAGGCAGGACTTGAGCCTAGATCTGATCTGCCTGAACCCAGAGCCAGAGCTCTTACCCACTACCCACCCCGACGGGCTCAGGGGCATCAAGTACATTTATTCCTACAGCACCAGGGAGGTGGCGGGGTGCTCTCAGTCTCTTAGAACGTCTGTTCTCCTCCTCTCTAGGCTAGAATGCTGGAGGACTAGTTTGGGGCCCAGCCCCCTTCTTCGGCGGACCATGAAAGGTGCAAGGGGTGAAATAGTACAAGGCTCTGGGACTCCACTCCAGGGCCTGCTTCACCCCCATCCCAGCCCCACACCTGCTGTGACTGACAGATACCTCTGGGAAATCAAGAAGACGATGGGGGAGGGGACAGGGAAGGGGCTGGACACAGGAGCTTTGGCCCAAGACCTGCTTTTGTTCAGTGGGTTTCAGGGTGAGGGGGAGCACTCATCAGAGTGGGATCTGAAACTTGTGTCAAAGAGCCTTTCAAAGGGCTCCTTTCAGCCAGCACTCAGTACTGTGTCCCCGACAGCTAGGTGCAGGCCACCCCTGACCCCTCCGTGCAGGATGGGGAGGAGCACCGGCCCCCCTCCCAGGACAGGAACACCAGGCACAAGAGGCTTTACGGGCCCCTGGGAACTTCGTTGCCCACGGTCTCCCAACCTGGGAGGGCAGGATGCCAATGGGTGCCATGTAGCCCCAGAACCAGCTGTTCTCCCTCCTGCATCCCTCTTGCTGCCTGCGCTTTGTGGGCACCCCTCCTCTCCTGCCCAGCTGCTGATGTGCACCTTGCTCCCTCTGTGCCAAACGTCTGGTTCGGGGCCGAGTGTCAGAGAGGACCAGCACAGACCTAACGAGGGGAGCTCGGCTTAAGAAGACAGTGAGCAGGTGGCTGAGAACAAGGAAGCCAGGCCACTCCCCCAGTTCACTGCTGCAAGGCTTCCTGCCAAGGCAGGGCGTGAAGAGGCGGCAGAACACGGGAGGTGCGCTCTGCTCCCAGGGTCCCCTGGGCTGGGGTCCAGCCTCTGCCAGTTACTGACTCCGACACACAGCCTCTTGGAGCCTTGGTTTCCTCATCCGCTACCTGGGCCAACACCAAGACCTCACTCCGGAATGGAGACATAAACAAAGCTTGCTGTTGGCACAGTAATGTGCTGTGGCAACTCCAGAGCCAAGTGCCGTGCTCGTTTGAGTTATTGAAGGGGAGATGACCCCTCGTTAGCAACACTGGACCTCACTGTAGGAGGCCAGCAACAGGAGGTCAGGGGCCCTCCCACCCCCAGCATGTGGTTGAAGCTCAAGAAGAGGAGCCGTGAGAACGGTGCCAAAGGAGCTCTGATCATGAGCACGGCATCCCTATATGCCTACTTCCAAACCCACTAGGGAAGTTGTTCTCCAGCTTGCAAACACCCTGGCTAATATTCTGCAAATGACAGGAAAGCAGGTGAGGCTGTTCCACTTGAGATGAACAGTGCCCTCTCCCCTTCTGTCTACCACTGCTGCCCCAAGAAGCACCAGATGGGGACGCTATTTGCTCAGAAGCTCCTGCGTGTACAGGTCTGCGTGCGCGCACTTACGTGTACATACCCGCCCCGCCCCCCCCAGACGGAGACTGGCTTTGCCAGGACAACACTATTTTTAACCTTCTTCTGAAGGTCAGGTTCAGATATCACTGTTGCCAACAACACAGCTTCGTGTCCCAGCAAAGGAACTCCTCACACATCCGCCTGGGAGGCGGCAGAAGGCAAGCGCTCAGGCAACTGGATTTTAACAAGCCCATTCACGTAGAAGGATGCTTTCTTGGTTCCCTCAGAAGTACTTCCTTCCCCACCATTTCCCATCCCCCCATAGCAAAGGATTTAGCCTGGCTATCACTATAAAATGGCCTCTCTGAGGGGCCTCCCTCCCCTGAGCTATTGGAGGAAGGAGAGTATTTGGAGCATTTCCGGCCCTTCTTGGCCAGTTGCCTGGGCCCTGCAGCCAAGACACGTCTGATTGGGGCTCCCCACAGAGAGGAGTCCTCCCAGGTCCACAGCAAGGGGCATCTGGGCCTTGGCGAAG